TAATATGAAGGGTGAGGGATTCAAAGGGATTCAACCGATATTGTTAAAGAACAGTACAAAAACTTCAAGTTGACTTATAACATTTGGCCTGCTTTAAAGATGAGATAATCTACACAAGCTTCCGAAAAAAGTATTGTAATATATAAAAAAAACTTTAAATCAATTAAATCACTTGTATAACGATCTGCAAACTCGGGGCATACTTGGGACGGTCCCTCCTGTTGTATCTTGCATAGAAAACTACGGTAAGTCAATATTTACTTATATATTTCTGTATTTACCAGTACGGTAAAAAAAAATACTATTATTATTATAATGCATAAATAACGAAGTGTATAACGGTTATTCTAATTTTATAAATCGGGCTTAAATATATAGCATGTAAAATTATTACCATTACTGTACCAACTAACAATCGAATTCCAAATATAGAAAACACACGATTGTTAGCTGATTTGCCGTATTTAATAATTGTGGTGCCGAATTTAGTAAAAAATAAAAAATATTAGTTGACTCATTAAATTATCACAATGCCAAGTCATTTATATTGTATACTACTTCGTGTCAAATTATTACAGTATATACTGAACTAATAAAAATAAGCCGTAATTTATAATAAAAAGGTCTTCAGTACAAAGTTCTGTTACGAATTCAAGAGAATATAAAATTTTTTATTTTTATAAAATTGCTTACTTCTATCCTCACTATATCGTTGCAAAATACTCCTATTATCTTATTCAGGGCTTCTAAGAGAAATCTTCGTAAAAAGGATTTGTGTGCTACAAAAAAAGCAAAAATTGAAAAGCCTATTAGTTCAATCACCAATAAGGGCAATTCCATATCTAATATTATACTTAATCAAGCTGATAAAAGAGAAAATATTTTCTATGATCCTTTAAAAGTATGTTAATCATCTTTTATTATATGGGTCCTTTCACATCAAATCGGGGCTTAGAAATGATTTTTTGATTTATAAATATCAATGATTAATCAAATTTTGATTGTTGAGATAAATTTAGATATTTATATGTAATATAGTTTAGTGCAAATACACATACATTATACTGATATCTTAATTAATGATAGTAGCGATTTAAAGTATTCTAACGTTAACAGTAGTCTAAAATTAGAACAGAGAATCAGCATATGTAAAATTACTGCATATAGAACTGTACCAAATTATAGTATATCAACCTACACTGAGATTTTTACTATGAATAATTCGTACACTTGTGAATACTATTCAATAAAAATCTCAATTTCGGTTAGATCATCTCTAAGCCCCGATTTGCTGTAGAAAGACCCATATTTAGTTTTTTTATAGTATAGTCTTCTTAGTGCAGTTATAACCTTTCAAGTTTTAAATCTTGGGGTGGGAAACTTAGTAGAGATATGACCAAAAAAATATTATCGTAGGATTAATGATTTAAAAAGTAGCAATTTAGATAAAATAGGTGCTTAGATAGATAGTAAAAATAATTTTAATTTAGATAACAATACAGAGTAGCAGGAAGAAATTCTCATTTTATGGGTTAGGGCTCGAGAAATTCCTCACTTTAAATGTCTGTTATGCTTTTTATTAAAATTATTTTTTAGTAATTTTATATTCAATAAGCTATCTAATTAAAATCTGACAAATTGATCAAGAAAACATATTGAACTATATTATCTCTAATCCATTCAGTATGTGTTAAATGCTATCCTAAATATTCTGTGTTTTCTGATATAATATACTTCTGGAAATAAAAATTATTAAACATGTCGTTTATATTTGGAACAATGAAATATAGATGAATTGGTAGATTTTTTAGATTATTTTCTAATTTATTAAGACCGTTTACCTGCATAAATGAACACATTCAGTCTGTAATAGTAGATACAAAGCTAATATAAAGACCAATATTTACCTTTATATCATGTGTTTCTGCTGTTGTCATTTGATATAAATGATGAATTTCATTACGATTAGGCGCAATGGCGTCAACAGATTCAAAATTTGTATTTTCGGGAATGTTATAATATCCTAGAACTATTTCATCAATATTATGAAACTGTTGGTGTGGCAAATTTTGAAGGTGAAGTTTTTCTTCGGGTTGTTTAATACTATCTCTGGTTAAGTGACGCTCCGTGAAGTTACCATCTTTTCATAAGATATCATGTGCTACCATTTCAAAGAATTTGTTAGCTAAAGTACCACTAGCACTTCTCGCAAAATTTCAGATTATTTTAACAATCATGTCTTTTGTGCTTTTTTTATAGTGCCTGTACAAAGCCTCACATATTTCTGTTGAAGCAGAAACATATATTTTATCTGTAAAATCAGAATTAAGAATAATATGTATAGCTTTTCCAGAATAATTATCACCTAAGTCTCCATCATCATTTTTAAGATAAGCATAAGCATCACATTGAGAGACTACATCATCAACTTTCGATTCATCATCATATTCATCAAAAACTCGTCATGATATACATCCCATCGCATGATCAACTCTTTGACTTGACTCTTAGGTATTTTATTCTTATACTTTACATTCCAAACGGTCCAAATTTTTTCTTCAGTCCAAATTGGTGCGTAATATTTCCTAATATGGCCTTTACAAATTCATGCCACCGACCACTTTTTGGCGTTATAACCAGAAACGTGAATATTGTTTTTTATGAAGTAGAAATTACAGAATCAGCAATATAAAAACTATCTTGTGGAAATTCACGTGTTAGATCAAGAATTTTCATTACACTTATATTTGGTTTGACATGAAGAACACAGGAATAACCTTGAAATAACTGCTTATAGATTATATCTGCTGGGGAATATCGACAAGCCAAATAAAAAGCTAAATATAGCGAAAAGTGTATTTTTCTAATGCCAGGTGATCCAATTATAATACAACCTCTTTTTTCATGATGAGTATGATCGTATTCAATCTTTTCAATCATCTGCAAGTATGACTTCTTTATTAATATATCCTGTGTTGATATTCCATAGACAATTCCATATAGCGATTTACGGAGACGTAGAAATTTCACAAAATTTATTTTAATCTTTGTTAATTCTCCCATCACAGGTTCATTATTATTAAGTATTAGTTCATTTTGTGCATTTAACATTATACAGTTACTCAACACAATTTCGTTCTCTTTAACACTTATGTATTCGGATAATGGTTTAGACACGAACATAGTTTTATCAATATTATCTGGTAGTTTAAGAACAATATATGCGTCAGAAAGTTCATTCCAAAATTCTTTCTCATGAGAAGTAACACGTTCATGGTTATAAAATTGAGATTCATCCGGTCGCTTCATTGGGGTGAAAAGTGATCCAGAGGTTCCTGATCGAATAAAAAAATGAGATAACTACAAATTTCCTCGTTTGAAAGCAAAACACTTACCAGCAGTGACAGGTGGTTGCACGATGATACAGATGCTAAAAAATTTAGTATTTTCAGATTCTTTGTGAAAAACTGTTTCTATAGTAGCGTTTGGGAGCAACTCTACACCTTTATAATCATTAATGTTTTCAGCAAATATTTTTGTGTTTTTGTTTTCAATATTAATAGGAATATCCACCTTCCACAGCCTCAGTTCATTTGAGTTAATATTGGCAAAGCCGTTCTTTTTCTTCTCCTTGATTAACTCTTTGAGGTGCCCAATGGTCATGCCTTTATCAATATCAACCGGAAAAGATTTCTCAATAGCGTTATCTAAAACAAGACAGAAAATCTGACAGTTTTCCAGATTTTCTGGATTCATTAGAATAAAATTTATTAAACCTTAAATTCAACTATTCAGTTATTATATAGAATTCTAAATACCATAATATCAGACATAAGCTTCTAAAAATGGTAAAGACTAAATTCTAGATGTACGAAAATATTTTATAAAAAATGGTTTTAAAAAAATAGATCTTTATATATGACAATTACACAATTTTTCGGTCATACGGTTGATCAGTTAATCAGTATTTGACTAGTGGGGTGAAAATCAATATATAAGTTTAACGAAATAAGGCAAGTTTGTTCAATTATACATTTTTTCAATTTCGCTAGTCAATAAGTCCCAACTCCTTAAGATACTTCGGAATAATTATATGTGGATCTTTGTAATACCATATCTCTATAAGAACGAACCAGTTTTCATCACATAGTTCTCTCTTGATCTGATCACGCATTAATTGCTTCTTAAAGTCTTCCTCATTTTTGTGAAAGTGCTTTACGTATTGCTCATGTTGTTTATCCTATACCTCTATTGCAAATCTATACTGTGGATAATAAATATCGAGTTCTAATCCTCGAAGATACTCCGGTGTTTTTAAGAAATTTGGTTTGCAAATAACAGAAGGTGGGCCAAGAATCTTTGTTATGACTTCACGACATAAATTTTCATGTTTATTTAAGCAATATGGGCACCATGTTTTAGCATGCTTTATACTATTAAAACTAGCAAACTATTTATAGCCTTTATTATATTCCCATTGCATTAAAACATTAATATTTTTATATTCAGTAGAAAGACATACACCACCTTTACTGTATACAATCTCCTTACAAGCTTCAAGACTACAAGGTTTGATACTAGCACATTATGCACACTATCTACCTTTATCTTTTATTCGAATAAGAGAGACATACCACTCATGACCTTGGATACAATGCCAATGCATTGGTGTATTTGTATTTTTATATTCTGTAGAAAGGCATTTACCACCCTGTTCTTGTGCAATATTATTTGCTATATCAATATTAAGATATCAGTACTGTCTGTACCAAGTTTCTTTAATAATATCTTTAGGTGAGGCCTTTTATTTATATCCTTTTTTATACTGCCATTCAAGAGGATTTTGTCTATTAATATATTTATTTGAAATACAAAAACCCTCCTTTTTTTTTGCAAGTATTTGCATATTCTTAATTGTTCTAGTTCGATTATGATGATTTATAGAGAATTTTCAATATATCTGTATTTTATTATTGATGTATTTTTCAGAATGCATTTATTCTTTATTATATATAACTTCTTTAACAATATCTAATATAAGTTTACTATTTGTAATTAAATCTGAATTCCAAGCCTTCAAAACACTATTATTGAAGCGTGATCATCAAATCATGATTATCTTGTTGCAAGAAGAGGAAGACCGAATGAGCTTCTCGCAGTTAGTCTACCGAACTACAAGATAAGAAATAGTTTGAATATATCCACTTCAAAATCTAAATAAATAGATATACTTTTTTTTTTCTTTTGTCCTAAGCATAATCGTCATCTTCAATGTGGGTGTGTATAAGAAGGAAGATAACACAGACTTCCTAAACAACCGAACCACACCGCAGAGAGTGATTGAATGTATCTACCAGAAAAAATATATATATATATAAACATAAATAAAATTAATTTTCGATACAGGCATAGGTAGTTGTTCACCGTTTTTCTAATACTATATCAGAGTGATATATTTTTTATATTAATATTTTTTTATCTAATTCCGACACAGGTAGAAAAGTATTGATGTAAAAAAAAAATCTACAAAGTATATGCTCCCTTCTCTTCTTTGTAAATATACATACACAACATATCTTCCAGTTTCAAATAAAAATGAATCCGATATTTTATTATTATATACTTGTTACAACTGTTATAAGTCATTAAAATTGCTACAGTAGGGAACAGCTAAAGATATCCACTTTTTCTGTGATGCGTCAAATTTTAGAAAAATTTTTATGATAAAAATAACAAAAATAAATTATTAACCAATCAAAATTCTTAAAATTATATATACGCACCAAATTTTTAAAAATCAAAAATT